TATATATATATAAAATAGACTTGTCCAAGTCCCCGACCCACAAAATCTTATAGCATGAGTGGAACATGAAGTTATAGATTTGTTATAGCATGAGCGGAACATGAAGTTATAGATTTCTTATAGCATAAGTGGAACATGAAGTTATAGATTTGTTATAGCATAAGTGGAACATGAAGCTATGTCACATTTATGTTCACCAAGGAATAACTCCAGACAGAGGTTTGGAGAGAAAAACAATGAGTGTGCGCCGGTTGTGAAGACACGTGAGACAAGGAGAGAGAATGTTCAACTCTCTGTTCGCTTTACCGACGTGGCTCATTGCTACGAGACTAGAACAGTTACTTCCGGGAAATGTGTGTGCTGGGAAGCAGAAAAACCAGGCACATGTAATGTGAATGGGAGATATTTAAAAAACGAGACATTTAGGACCTTGTATCAAACCGCAGCAGTGTCAGAACGCGGCACATTTGTAGTCAGAACACGGGAATGCATTGAGCGAGATGGGGGTCAGATGAAGCATCTTTTGTCAAGCCGACAGTTGTAACGTACATCCCTTTCTCATGTAACAAATTGTGCAACTGTCTCTGTCCGGAAGGTTCCGTTAAGTTTTTACCTCAGGAATTTGCTGTATCTAAAGTGATTTTTGTTTTATTATTATTTCTGTTAACCTTTGTGACCTAACCTTTGACCTTTGAGGATGCTCCGCGGCAACGGCACGGTGGGCGGCCCCAGCTGTGACGGCCTCCCTTTCAGCATGTTCGAAAAACTCACCCTCAAGACCTCCGACTTCATCGACAACAACCTCATGACCCTCATCAACATGTGTGAAGGTAAGCCACAACTCACACCAAGGATACACGACAAACTGGAACAATCAAGCAAATTAATATTTTATGCGCTCATGGGACCTTATGTCGTGGCGAGCGCCGAAAAACTCTTACCAGGCGAAACTGATCTTTTTTCTCCTTCTTCATCACACCACACTCTGTCTTACGATACGTTGACCACGGCCCTACAGTGTCAACTATGTATCATTTCAGAGAGTGACCACAAGACAAGTGTTATAGTTTGACTTACTGTAGTCTATGTTTTAGAACAGTGACCAAGTCATGATGATTTCTTTTTCTCTGGAATACTGCGGTAGTTTAAGTTACGAACAAAATCCACTTGCAACATATGGCATATAGATCCTTAAACACACATACTAAAGTAAACCTTGTTACAAGATTTCCTTCGCTAAAACATCATGGAAACATAATATGGTAACTTATCATACGTCAGTATTCTGGTGCGTGTTTAGAAATCACACACATGTACTAAAAACCAAGTTTCCCAATGCCATATCAGGCGCTCTATTGAGAGGTGAAGGCCCAGATTTTACAGAAGGTACACTGTATAGCAGCCCTCCTTTTTATTTGAGTTCAACACCTGAGTTTGTCAAACACGGGAGTGACTGCCGTTCTCCATCTGTGCTGTGGCGTGTGATGTTTGAGTCTGATGTGTTGTGTACATGTACTATCACTGGTGTGTTGTGTACATGTACTGTCACTGGTGTGTTGTGTACATGTACTGTCACTGGTGTGTTGTGTACATGTACTATCACTGGTGTGTTGTGTACATGTACTATCACTGGTGTGTTGTGTACATGTACTATCACTGGTGTGTTGTGTACA